GCCTACTGTTCGCTTGACTCAATTATCTATCTCTTCAATCTATCTATATCTCTTCTCTTGCGCTGGTTTTTCTCGCCAGGCTTATATACTAATAAATAAGGAGTCTGGCAAACACTAGGACATTCGCGGAGTTCCTTGATAATTCATGATCCTTCTAGAAACTCCAGCTCGCATGCTCCCAGCGTCGCGTGACTTCCGCTGTCGTAACGCTGCCCCTTCCTTAGTATTGTTCATCCCGAACAATAGCCACTTACATGAAATGAACAGAATTTACAAACACAAAATTAAAATACAACAAAGTCTCCTAATCTCACAGGACGTATCTTCTTCCATACTGGTCTCCAACTCATTGGTTTCAGCTTCACGTGGGGTTCATCTGCTCCATCAGGAAATGTCCCATTATCGGTAGCAGTCACATTAGTTACTTCATTAACGGCTTCACTGTTTTCCTTCTCAAAACCTGGTACAGTTTCTTCTTCGACAGTGGCTTTTTGAGGTGACACGTCTTCAGCAGCGTCATTAGTTCCGTTGTTGATTTCTTTCCAACTGAAATGTCCTCGACCATGATAACGTCAAAGCCTGTTGCCATGCACCACGTTTGGCTTACCTCAGTGACCACATTTTAATCGAAAAGTCACGTCTGAGAAACGACCCACTATGTCATATGGGCGTTCCCATGGAGAAGACAACTTAGGAGACTTCCCTTTGGTCTTCCTCGGATTATACAACCACACCTTGTCTCCTGGTACAAAGCTAACTTCAGTAGATCTCTTACCATATCATAGCTTCATGGAATCAGTATACGTTTTCAAGTTCGAACTCACTTGATGATGAACATCACCCATTCTTTCTGATAACACTTTCACGAACTCTCACACATTTTCAGGCAACTCTTCGTAAGGTGGGCGTCCTGTTATCAGGTTCACTAGCAACCGAAGTTCCCAACCAAACATCAACTTTGCTGGAGTGTATCGAGTGGCTTCTTGCTCTGCTGTTCTATAGGCCATCAACAGTGGAGGGAATAAGACATCCCAGTCATCTTGGTGGCTATTACAAAACTTTGCCAATTCCTGTCCCAGTGTCCAATTGTACTTTTATACCATCCCATCAGACTTTAGGTGAAGTGGCGTTGTCCTGGTCTTTCATATGCCAAACAACTTGCAGCATTTATGGAACACAGTTGATTCAAAGTTACGGCCTTGATCCGAATGCAGTTCGTATGGCATACCAAATCTGAAGAAGCAATCGTTAATAGCTGAAGCTACAGTTGTAGTTTCTTGATTTGGTATTGCATATGCCTCAGGCCACTTGGTGAAATAATCCATCACCACACAAATGTACCTGTTTCCAGCACGAGTTTAAGGCAAAGGACCAGCAATGTCAATGGCTACTCTTTCCATTGGTGCGCCAACTTGATATAACTTCATTGGAGCACGTCCCTTATGCTTGGATCTCCTTTTAGCACAACAAGTACTGCAGGTCCTGCACTATTCTTCCACATCTTGCCTCATATCTATCCAGTAAAATATCTGCCACTGGTGACTCAATGTCTTCTTAACTCCGAGATGTCCTCCTGTTAAACTATCATGGAATTGACGCTGCACAACTTCTCGTAACTTTCTCGGTATAACTGTTTGCCAGGTCGTCAGTTTCCCATCTGCAGCCTCCCATCTCCGGGCAAGACTACCGTCTTCAAACTTCAACTGGTCCCATTGTGCCCAATAGTTCTTTGTCACAGGGCTTAAGCTAGATATTTTCTCCCAAGCAGAGCCCCAAACACTGGTTAAGATCATTAAAGAACCCAGAGGGCCAACTTCCACATTGGATTGGAAAGATAGACCAGTATAATTATGATATTGAATACAGAGAAGGAAAATCTCATGGAAATGCTGATGGACTGAGCCAAAGACCCTGTAAAAATGACTGCAGAAATTGCTGCAAAAGAGAGGTTGAACGAACCAGGTGTCATCAAACTGAACTCAAAGTGACTGAAGGAGTTTATGATGGTGAAGTGGAACCAGGCATAGATATCAAAGCAGAGCAGGAGAAAGACCAGAATTTGAAATCAATAATTGATTTTATACAAGCAAGTGTTTTGTGCCCTGCTTGGGAGAAGGTGTCTAGCTTAAGCCCTGTGACAAAGAACTATTGGGAACAATAGTACCAGTTGAAGCTTGAAGATGTTATTCTTGTCCGGAGATGGGAGACTGCAGATGAGAAAGTGACGACCTGGCAAACAGTTATACCAAGAAAGTTACGGGAAGTTGTGATGCATCAACCACATGATAGTTTAACA